TGTGTGAGGGGGAACATTCCATTGTTAGACCGATCGTTTCTGTGTGAGGGGGGAACATTCCATTGTTAGACCGATCGTTTCTGTGTGAGGGGCGAACATTCCATTGTTAGACCGATCATTTCTGTGTGAGGGGGAACATTCCATTGTTAGACCGATCGTTTCTGTGTGAGGGGGGAACATTCCATTGTTAGACCGATCGTTTCTGTGTGAGGGGGAACATTCCATTGTTAGACCGATCGTTTCTGTGTGAGGGGGAACATTCCATTGTTAGACCGATCATTTCTGTGTGAGGGGGAACATTCCATTGTTAGACCGATCATTACTGTGTGAGGGGCGAACATTCCATTGTTAGACCGATCGTTTCTGTGTGAGGGGGGAACATTCCATTGTTAGACCGATCGTTTCTGTGTGAGGGGCGAACATTCCATTGTTAGACCGATCGTTTCTGTGTGAGGGGGGAACATTCCATTGTTAGACCGATCGTTTCTGTGTGAGGGGCGAACATTCCATTGTTAGACCGATCATTTCTGTGTGAGGGGCGAACTTTCCATTGTTAGACCGATCATTTCTGTGTGAGGGACGAACATTGCATTGTTAGACCGATCATTTCTGTGTGAGGGGCGAACGTTCCATTGTTAGACCGATCATTTCAGTGTGAGGGGGCGAACATTCCATTGTTAGACCGATCGTTTCTGTGTGAGGGGCGAACATTCCATTGTTAGACCGATCGTTTCTGTGTGAGGAACGAACATTCCATTGTTAGACCGATCGTTTCTGTGTGAGGGGCCAACATTCCATTGTTAGACCGATCGTTTCTGTGTGAGGGGCGAACATTCCATTGTTAGACCGATCGTTTCTGTGTGAGGAACGAACATTCCATTGTTAGACCGATCATTTCTGTGTGAGGGGCGAACGTTCCATTGTTAGACCGATCATTTCAGTGTGAGGGGCGAACATTCCATTGTTAGACCGATCGTTTCTGTGTGAGGGGCGAACATTCCATTGTTAGACCGATCGTTTTCTGTGTGAGGGCGAACATTCCATTGTTAGACCGATCATTTCTGTGTGAGGGGCGAACATTCACCATCAGGGGGGGCAAATACACATTTCCTTCCCTGTCTCTCCTCCGGGGATATTATGTCTCCTGTCCGCCATGTTGCTGATTGTTTCGCCGCCTGCGCTATAAATGGCCGGTGATTCCTCACATTGCATGAAATACGGAATTCCAGGTGGTGTGACCGGTAACCATGGTAACTAGCGGGGATAGCGGCGTGCTGCGACGGGGGGAATTTATCATGTTTATAGACTCGGCACATTCTGGAGTCTCCTGGCTGCGTCTCTATTGATGTTTCTGCCATACAAACAGTTTGTGTGGGGGAGGGGAGCCATCAGACGGTACAGATACATGGTATGGAGCTGAGGCTGGGCCAAGGAGCTGACAATCATTAGTGGTGTCCTGATACAGGTTCCAGGGAAACACATTTATGATTTTAATGTCTTTTCCAAAAATAAGAAATTCTTCGAACGCGCTCATTGGCTGTGGTGAGGCGGCTCTTCCGACGCACAGCTCCCCCCAATGGAAGGAAGTCAAATTATCCAAATGTGCGCCAAACCAAAGAGAGTCCTTCAACTGGTCGTAATACCAAAACGATGGGAGAGCCAACGCGTTTCGGGGCAGCAGAACCCCTTTCATCAGAACGATGGGAGAGCCAACGCGTTTCGGGGCAGCAAAACCCCTTTCATCAGAACGATGGGAGAGCCAACGCGTTTCGGGGCAGCAAAACCCCCTTCATCAGAACGATGGGAGAGCCAACGCATTTCGGGGCAGCAAAACCCCCTTCATCAGAACGATGGGAGAGCCAACGCGTTTCGGGGCAGCAAAACCCCCTTCATCAGAACGATGGAAGAGCCAACGCGTTTCGGGGCAGCAAAACCCCCTTCATCAGAAGGATAGGAGAGCCAACGCGTTTTGGGGCAGCAAAACCCCCTTCATCAGAAGGATGGGAGAGCCAACGCGTTTCGGGGCAGCAAAACCCCCTTCATCAGAAGGATGGGAGAGCCAACGCGTTTCGGGGGGCAGCAAAACCCCCTTCATCAGAACGATGGGAGATCCAACGCGTTTCGGGGCAGCAAAACCCCCTTCATCAGAACGATGGGAGAGCCAACGCGTTTCGGGGCAGCAATACCCCCTTCATCAGAACGATGGGAGAGCCAACGCGTTTCGGGGCAGCAATACCCCCTTCATCAGAAGGATGGAAGAGCCAACGCGTTTCGGGGCAGCAGAACCCCTTTCATCAGAACGATGGGAGAGCCAACGCATTTTGGGGCAGAAAAACCCCCTTCATCAGAACGATGGGAGAGCCAACGCGTTTCGGGGCAGCAAAACCCCCTTCATCAGAACGATGGGAGAGCCAACGCGTTTCAGGGCAGCAAAACCCCCTTCATCAGAACGATGGGAGATCCAACGCGTTTCGGGGCAGCAATACCCCCTTCATCAGAAGATGGGAGAGCCAACGCGTTTCGGGGCAGCAAAACCCCTTTCATCAGAACGATGGAAGATCCAACGCGTTTTCGGGGGACGCAAAACCCCCTTCATCAGTAGGATGGAAGAAGGAATCGAACCGACTCTACAATGAAATGGATCCACATCTGATCTGATGAAAACCTCCTGCTGGACTGATTCCTGTGTCACAATGTAACTGCCGCTGGCTACATTGTTGGAACATCTATGCATGGATTGGATACATCTGAGATATACGTTGGAACTCCCATCCAAGCTCAGACGTGGATCCATTTCTTTGTGGAATCCTTTCTCCAGTCTTCTGACGACAAGGAAGCAATTTTGCCCTGAAATGCGTTGGGACAGTTGGTGGTGTCACAGACAGTTGGCGGCAAGGGTGGACTGACAACTCATGGGGCCCCCGGGCAATAGGGGATCATGGGGCCCCTGTGTCCTTGCCCAAACTCAAAAAAGCCTATGAAAAAGGTACCAGGGGCATCTCATGGGGCCCCCTACTGACCCTGGGCCCTCGGGCATGTCACGGAAAGTTGGTGGTGTCACGGACAGTTGGCGGTGTCAGGGACAGTTGGCGGTGTCAGGGACAGTTGGCGGTGTCACGGACAGTTGGCGGTGTCACGGACAGTTGGCGGTGTCACGGACAGTTGGCGGTGTCAGGGACAGTTGGCGGGTGTCACGGACAGTTGGCGGTGTCACGGACAGTTGGCGGTGTCACGGACAGTTGGCGGTGTCACGGACAGTTGGCGGTGTCACGGACAGTTGGCGGTGTCACGGAAAGTTGGCGGTGTCACGGACAGTTGGTGTCACGGACAGTTGGTGTCACGGAACAGTTGGCGGTGTCACGGACAGTTGGCGGTGTCACGGACAGTTGGCGGTGTCACGGACAGTTTGCGGTGTCACGGACAGTTGGCGGTGTCAGGGACAGTTGGCGGTGTCACGGACAGTTGGTGTCACGGACAGTTGGCGGTGTCACGGACAGTTGGCGGTGTCACGGACAGTTGGCGGTGTCACGGACAGTTGGTGTCACGGACAGTTGGCAGACGTTGGGTGTCACGGACAGTTGGCGGTGTCAGGGACAGTTGGTGGTGTCATGGACAGTTGGCAGTGTCATGGACAGTTGGCAGTGTCACGGACAGTTGGCAGTGTCACGGAAAGTTGGCGGTGTCACGGACAGTTGGCGGTGTCACGGACAGTTGGTGTCACGGAAAGTTGGCGGTGTCACGGACAGTTGGTGTCACGGAAAGTTGGCGGTGTCACGGACAGTTGGTGTCACGGACAGTTGGCGGTGTCAGGGACAGTTGGTGGTGTCATGGACAGTTGGCGGTGTCACGGACAGTTGGCAGTGTTTTGGACTCTTGTGGTTTGGCGCACATTTGTATACTTCGAGTTCCCCGTACAGGAAGATCTACAGAGAACGTTCCTCTCTAGACGTGTGCGGTTTGCTTCATTCCGAATTGAAATTCAGACAAATGTTTCGTTATTCGGAGATTTGGATGTATCCGAAGTTCAGAATTATAATAATGACGAAATTAAACCCAATCTGGAATAACGAAAACAAAATCGAATTCAAAAAACAAGAATAGAATTAAAGAGAACAGATCATGAAATTGAATAGAAAAAAACAATAGAATAGAATAGAAAGAATATTACCGTCTTCGGAAATTCCAATATCGAATAGAATGAATCTGAATGCTGATTCGATACTTTAGTATTTCGATTCGAATTTTCTGAATTCGGTTGAATTTCATTAAAAAGAATTAGAAAATCGAATTAGAAAACGAATTTAATAAATTTAACTAAACAAAACAATTGAAATAATGAGTCAAAACGAAACAAATGTTTTCATCCGGCACATGTCAATCCCCTCTCTCCCAGCCCCCGCTCTGAATAAACGTTCGGAGACAAAGTAAGAACGTTCTATTCTATTCTATTCTGTTCTATTCTATTCTATTCTGTTCTGTTCTATTCTGGTCTATTCTATTCTATTCCATTCTATTCTGTTCTATTCTATTCTATTCTATTCTGGTCGGTACATCTCTACAAGGACGAAGCTACAAGAGGTTCTGAGGAGCTCAGCCTAACCCAAGAAGAAGTCACATCATGCAACAATCACAAAGACAAGAAACGTTTCTATCCATCAACCCAAGTCTGACTCTCCAGGCGGAAACGGTCTGGAAATACCCCGCAGTCCCTGGAGCTGACAGACATGACTTGGAGGTCCATCCTCCGCTTTGGGTCCATGTTCCTTGCGGTGCAGCAACCACAGAACACGAATGATTGGCACAAAGAATGACGATTCTACACACGGGACACACGTGACGGGAAGACGACCGCCTGGCTCTGCATTATCAGCCTTTCTGCATCCTCCATGGCCGGGCCTCTTCAGCCTCCTTCACTCTTCCTGCAGCCCTCCCGGGAGTTGAACCCTGGCTGCAGTGCAGGCAGCTGTAAAGATCTCCTTCTGCTCCGGTCTGCTGCCTTTAGGTGACCGGATCTCTAGGTAGGTTGAGCTGCACCGACTCACCTCCGGCGGTGAATTTAGCGGCTGGCCCATTGCCTTCCATGGTGAAGAGTTTGCATGTCTTTGGGTTGTCATGAACGGGGAGGACTTTCGGGATGACCCCGGAGAGTTGGTTGGGCTGAGCTGCACCGCCGTGGTATCCTGCACCGTGTGCTCGCTGGTCTCGATCTCAAACGCCGCGTTTCCTGGCTTTATGAATCCGATGTTAGATCCCGGCTTCGACTTCCTGGCCCCGTGTGCCGGCGGCCTCCGGCTACAAATGCAGCAAGCACCGAAAAACGCAAAGGCCACCACCAGGAGAATGGGTCCGATGATGATGGGGGGGTTATTGACCGGCAGAAATGTCCCGAAGGCAAAAGCGCCAACTAGAGTAATGTTTATTCCCGCCAGCATGATGCAGAGTCCGCAGGCGCAGCACAGCGCCGGGGAGGGCAGGCCGTGGGGGCGGGTCTTCTTCTGCCCTGGTTTCTGACTCAAAGACGATTTGCTTTTGTCGGTGAACATCATGTTTTCTGTCTGGACGTCCTTCATGCCATTCCTCGCAGCAGCCTGCAGGGAGAACACAGCAACTTAGTATTCATTCCTCAAGATCTCCACATGTCAGCTATCAGAAATCAGAGACACCGAATATCCCCCGAAATCGAATCGTCGGAACCATGGAGCTTCCAACACCACAGCATATAACCACCACCCCCCCCCCTGCAGAAATATCCACTGTGCCTTACTGTCAGTGTCCACTACCAATCTCCTCCAGCAGGGGTCTCCACTACCAATCACCACCAGGGGGGGTCTCCACTACCAATCACCACCAGGGGGGGTCTCCACTACCAATCTCCACCAGGGGGGTCTCCACTACCAATCTCCTCCAGCAGGGGTCTCCACTACCAATCTCCTCCAGCAGGGGTCTCCACTACCAATCTCCTCCAGCAGGGGTCTCCACTACCAATCACCACCAGGGGGGGTCTCCACTACCAATCTCCACCAGGGGGGGTCTCCACTACCAATCTCCACCAGGGGGGGTCTCCACTACCAATCTCCTCCAGCAGGGGTCTCCACTACCAATCACCACCAGGGGGGGTCTCCACTACCAATCTCCCCCAGCAGGGGTCTCCACTAACAATCTCCTCCAGCAGGGGTCTCCACTACCAATCTCCACCAGGGGGGGTCTCCACTACCAATCACCACCAGGGGGGTCTCCACTACCAACCAATCTCCACCAGGGGGGGTCTCCACTACCAATCTCCACCAGGGGGGTCTCCACTACCAATCTCCTCCAACAGGGGTCTCCACTACCAATCTCCACCAGGGAGGGTCTCCACTACCAATCTCCTCCAGGGGGGGTCTCCACTACCAATCTCCACCAGGGGGGTCTCCACTACCAATCTCCACCAGCAGGGGGGGTCTCCACTACCAATCTCCTCCAACAGGGGTCTCCACTACCAATCTCCTCCAGCAGGGGTCTCCACTACCAATCACCACCAGGGGGGTCTCCACTACCAATCACCACCAGGGGGGTCTCCACTACCAATCTCCACCAGGAGGGGTCTCCACTACCAATCTCCACCAGGAGGTCTGGCGAGGTCTCCACTACCAATCTCCCCAGGGGGGTCTCCACTACCAATCTCCCCCAGGGGTAGTCTCCACTACCAATCTCCACAAGGGGGGGGGGTCTCCACTACCAATCTCCACCAGGGGGGATCTCCACTACCAATCTCCCCCAGCAGGAGTCTCCACTACCAATCTCCACCAGGGGGGGTCTCCACTACCAATCTCCCCCAACAAGGATCTCCACTACCAATCCCCCCCCAGCGAGGATCTTCACTACCAATCTCCCCCAGCGAGGATCTCCACTACCAATCTCCTCCAGGGGGTCTCCACTACCAATCTCCACCAGGGGGGGGGTCTCCACTACCAATCTCCCCCAGCAGGGGTCTCCACTACCAAATCTCCCCCAACAAGGATCTCCACTACCAATCTCCCCCAACAAGGATCTCCACTACCAATCTCCCCCAGCAAGGATCTCCACTACCAATCTCCCCCAAGGATCTCCACTACCAATCTTCCCCAACAAGGATCTCCACTACCAATCTCCCCCAGCAAGGATCTCCACTACCAATCTCCCCCAACAAGGATCTCCATTACCAATCTTCCCCAACAAGGATCTCCACTACCAATCTTCCCCAACAAGGATCTCCATTACCAATTTCTCCCAGTGAGGGTCTCCACTACCACCAACTGTCAGAGTCTCCACTACGAATCTCCCCCCAACAAGGGTCTCCACTACCAATCTCCCCCAACAAGGATCTCCACTACCAATCTCCCCCAGCGAGGATCTCCACTACCAATCTCCCCCAGCAAGGATCTCCACTACCAATCTCCCCCAGTGAGGATCTCCACTACCAATCCCCCCCAGTGAAGGTCTCCACTACCACCAACTGTCAGTGAGGGTCTCCACTACCACCAACTGTCAGTGAGGGTCTCCACTATCACCAACTGCCACTGACGGTCTACACTACGAGTCTCCTCCACTGAGGGTCTACTCTACCAATCTCCCTTAGTGAGGGTCTATACTACCAGTCTCCTCCCAGTGAGAGTCTCCACTACCGCTCTCCCAAGCGAGGATCTCCACTACCACCAACTGTCAGTGAGGGTCTACACTATCAATCTCCCCCAGTGAGGGTCTCCACTACTGATCTCCCCCAGCGCGGGTCTCCACTACCACCAGCTATCAGTGATGGTCTCAAATACTGATCTCCCCCAGCAAGGATCTCCACTACCACCATCTGTCAGTGAGGGTCCACAGTACCAATCTCCCCAGTGAGGGTCTACACTACCACCAACTACCTGTGAGGGTCTCCACTACCACCAAATGTTAGGGTCTCCACTACCATCAACTGTCAGTGAGGGTCTACACTACCAATCTCCCCCAGCAAGGATCTCCACTACCAATCTCCCCCAGTGAGGACACTACCACCAACTGTTGGTGAGGGTTTATACTACCGATCTCCCCCACTGAGGGTCTACACTACCAGTCTCCCCCACTGAGGGTCTATACTACCAGTCTCCCCCAGTGAGGGTCTACACTACCACCACAACTGGCAGTGAGGGTCTACACTACCAATCTCCCCCAGTGAGAGTCTCCACTACCATTCTACCCCAGCAAGGGTCTCTACCACCACCAACTGCCAGTGAGGGTCTCCACTACCGATCTACCCCAGTGAGGGTCTCCACTACCACCATCAGTGAGGGTCTACACTACCACCAACTGTCAGTAAGTGTCTACACTACCAATCTCCCCCAGTGAGGGTCTCCACTACTGATCTCGACCAGCGAGGTTCTCCCCTACCACCAGCTATCAGTGATGGTCTCGACTACCGATCTTCCCCAGCAAGGGTCTCCACTACCACCAACTGCCAGTGAGAGTCTTCACTATCACCAAATGTTGGTGAGGGTCTCCACTACCACCATCTGTCAGTGAGGGTCTACACTACTACCAACTGTTGGTGAGGGTCTCCACTACCACCATCTGTCAGTAAGGGTCTCCAATACCAATCTCCCAAATGAGAATCTCCACTACTACCAACTGCCAGTGAGGGTCTCCACTACCAGTTTTCCCTAGTGAGGGTCTCCACTAAAACCAGCTGTCAGTGAGGGTCTACACTACCAATCTCCCCCAGTGAGGGTCTCCACTACAACCAACTGCCAGTGAGGGTCTCCAATACCAATCTCCCAAATGAGAATCTCCACTACTACCAACTGCCAGTGAGGGTCTCCACTAAAACCAGCTGTCAGTTAGGGTCTACAATACCACCAACTGTTGGTGAGGGTCTCCACTACCACCATCTGAAAGTGAGGGTCTACACTACCAATCTCTCCCAGTGAGGGTTTCCACTAAAACCAAATGTCAGTGAGGGTTTCCACTACCAACCTCCTCTAGTGAGGATCTCCATTACCATCACCCCTTAGTGAGGATCTCTACTACCAGTCTTCCCTAGTGAGCCTCCACTACCAACAACTCCCCATTACTCCTCCATTACTGCCAGCTGTTCCCCACCCATCACCTACCCTCAGTGAGAATCTCCACCGCAGAAAACCCTCCACTATTGCCAATTCTCCACCAACACAACCACCAGCAAAGGTCTCAGCCACCACCAACCACATATAAGAATTCCTGTTAATCATCCGCACCTAATCTATTCTCAGCAATAGTCTTCACTATTGACAATTAGCCCCCCCGCCCCCCCATTGCCACTGGGAATCTCCCCCTCTTCCACCACCAAGCCCTTTAAAACAAATCTCAACTGCCCTGAATTCCTGGTAAGGTCTCCTGGTATCATTGCCAACCCCGGGTGAAAGTCTTTACCACCAGCAATGCCTAGTGACTGCCAGCTCTCCGTCCGTCCTGCCTTGCTGAGGGTCTCCACAATCACGAAACCCCAGCAAAGATCTTAAACACTGTCAATGCCTCCTCCCCTCACTGTAGTTGAAGGTTTCCACTGATACCAACCCCCAGAAAGACACCCCACCAATGGCATTCTCCACTCCGACTGTGTGAGTCCCCACCATGGCCAACCCCTTGCAGTAATCTCAATTGCCGGTAATTCCTGGAAATCATCTTCTCTAATTTCATGCCCCACTGAGAGTCTCTACAATCACCAATTGCCCCCCCCCCCTCCCCCCCCATACTCTTTCCTTCTGTAAATGAACTTCTGCACCGTCGCCAACCACTGTTGAGAGTCGCCACCATTGTTAGATGTCCCCCACCCCAGGACAGGGGTCTCTACAATCTGTAGTCAATCCCAAACCCTCAGTGTGGGTCTCCACTTCCTCAGCCTCCTGGTGAGGAGCTTCACCACCACCAACTCCCAGGGAGGGTTAGGCCACGCTTGTCACTGGGAGTCATAACAGAGAATGGCTGTCAGTGATTGGTCTGTTCAGAGACATCATCGCCTGTCACAGTGAGCAGGGAAATGTGCGATCACAGATGGCTAATCAGTTCATCCAAGTGAGACGGATCACATTGAAGAAATATCTGAAAACAAACAGTGAGTCACAGCGGGAAATGAATCCAACACAAAGGAGGAGACACCGTTACTGTTCTCCAGGTTTAACCCTTGGACTTCTGCCCTATCTGCGGCTCTGCCTCGGCCTCACAAGGTAGTATGAACCAATTCATGAGAAGGTTCATCACAATCTGCTTCTTCATGGTGACATCTTCTGAATACTGAGCAGAGGAACACGTGAGGAACGTCATCCATACCCAATGTCTGCAGGGAAAAGCCATGAAATGTCTCATGAAAGATTATGAGCTGATTTAATGGTGTTGTCCTCCATCATCTCCTCCCGTAGTAGCTGATATATATGTGCTGTTACTGAGTCACTGACCTCAAAGGAAATGTGGTGCCCGAAATATGGAGGAACTCCTTGCCATTGACTGGGGAGTCACTGACCTCAAAGAAGCATGCAGCCAGTGTGCCCAGGGGAGGTCAGAACTTAAATGGATTCCTCTTTCTAGATCAGTAATTGGTAAC